AACATTATCTATATTTGAGTCAAAAAAGCGCTAGAGCTTTGAATTTGATATTGGAAATCATATAGCAAACTGGGTTCATAGGCAGAAAGGAATCTTTCTGGATAACTTTTAGAAATCTGCACCAGAATCCCCTTTTTGGCCTATATACCTTTATCCCTTTTTATAATGATAAACATAAAACCACACCTAAACGATTAAATAGAATTTTTGCCTCATCAGAATTTATTTCTGATTTTATCTATTGTGAAATTGCAAAGTCCTTTCTTTACAAATCTGACCATAAAATGCTAATCGCATATTTTGCTGATGTCAAAATTGGGAAAAATGCTCAAGCTAGAAGAAACAACACTAAGAGAAAAGTTTTGATCTTTTCCCTTATGAACTATGAGAAATGAGTTAAATTTTCAGAACAAACTGAGCTCAATTTTCAAAATAATTCTTTGAACTTGCTTATTGATTTACCCCTGAATAGAACAAATATGAATAAAATATGGGAAGCTATTCGTAATAATATCACTCACGTTACCTCTTATACTATTCTGTATAAATGGTAACCTTCTATAATAATGCACCTAAACCTAAAGAATTGGTTACTCATTATGATCGTCTTAAAAAACTCAACAGAATTCTTCTCAAGTTTTGTAACAAAAGAGTTCAGTCTAAAACTTGGCCTATCGGTGTAGAATGGGATGAAGATATTATTACATTATATGATATAATAGATAAAGCTGATCTTCCAAGACAATCTATCCCAGATCTTATTGCCCCTGATAATATTATAGCTACTAGAAAATATATATTGGATCTTTATAGAAATATAAAAGCTCTTTCTAAAATCGAAGAAAACAATATCAATACTAATAAAATTAAACACTTTATACAGCAAAGATGTCTTCAAAATGAATCAAATCCTAGAAGAATGATTCAATCTGCCCTTAGACAAAATAAAAAGCAGATTATTTTAGATAGATTATTGATTACTACACCTTCTAGCTCTAAAGAACTTATCTCTGATTCTAAAAGAATCAAATTATTGGTCAATAATCACTTTTAAAACTATGCTATTTCTACAACTCCTGTTACCTCTCTTTCAGATTGATGGCTATCACAATATGCTCCTAAAGATTATGTTGATAGCTCTTGGTATGATCGACTTATGGATTCCCTACTTTTGAAGAATGGATGGCTGTGATTACCAAACTTCCCAACGAAAAAGCAGCTGGATTTTCTGGAATACATAATGAACAAATTAAACATCTTAGACCTAATATTCAACATTAAAGATGGTACAGCAATTGATTTCAAATTTACAAAATGTTGCAACATAAGCTAAAATTAGTTGCAACATATATAGGTTAAAACTAATTGCAACGTAAGTTGCAACATTAAAAGTTGCAACATATTAATTACAGTTCCCATCTTTATTCAATATAGATAGCTCTATTAGTAACAGGATCTTTACCTCGTAACTATAGAATCTACCTCTTTTATATCTATACTTTGATTGCTTGTACCAGAGTCAATATAAATACCCAGAATAATACCTTTAAAATTATTGTTATCAAAGGTGGACCTAGGATGAACTAAAGCAGGAACTTATTCATCTTGATATTTTATTTTTTTTGCATTCTTATTTTGGATTGAAATGATATCATATTTGTTAGTGAAGTATTTGAAGGGAATAACATGATCAATGACAGGAATCCTAATGGCATCTTGAAAGGTTTTCTGATAAATATTTCTGTCTCCTCTCTTTCACATATTATTTATTTGAAGCTAACAAAGATGTTTAGTGATTAAAACCAATTTCTGCTTCATTTATATGCATCTTTACAAGAAGATCATCAATTTTTTCATCAATTCCTTTACAGAGAGCTTTCAAAAATATTGATAAGGGAATCTTTTTCAAGTATGTAACTGGTGGTAACTGATTTATTTTTACAGCATGAACATATGCTTTCAAAAATAAGATGCGACTGACAAGCTCTTCTCTTTCTCTTGCCTCAACTACTCCACAGCTGAACTATTTCAATAGTGTGTCCAAATAATCTTCAAGACCAACTTTAATGATTTCTTTTAATGCTTCAGATGCAAGGATAGGATTAGAAGGATATGTGCAAAGAAGGTCTATACGATCATCTGATATACCTATAGCAGTTATCATATGAGACGCTATTAACATTTTTACCTTTGCAATTTGAGGACAAACTTCAAGAGCAAAAGAACAGGATATGCATACAAGGTTAGCAAGATGATCTTTTTTCTTGTTTTTATTAAAATTATGAATTTTTTGTGAAGCCAGATGTAAAATATTGGTGAGGTCAACTCCAGCTTGAGCAAGGGATCCTCATAGAGGAATTCCTAAATATAATGCCTTTTGTGGATTATAAGATTTTTCAGGTGATGTAATTCTTGCTAACATATTTATAGTATGAACATCTAAATATGCGAGAAATAAAAAATATTTATGCATTCTGGCAGAGTGAGTGTCTTTAATATCTGGGGAAGGAAAATTGCCAACCTTTCTGTTTGTGCTTAGGAGGATATTAAAAAACCCATGCCACATGATATTCTAAATTTGTCTCCTCCATCAAATAAAGTAGGTCTCATTAATGGTGATTAATGTTCTTTCAAGCAACTTGTGTGCTTTATTAATGCAACAAATGATTGAGATCAATAAATCTTTATTAAATAAGTCCTTCACAAATTCTTTGTTTGGTAAGAGGTTACTATGCTGTGACAACAATTTAACTGATTTCAAGACATATTTCCAAAACTGAGTTTGTGTATTTTCATATTCAGCTTTGACTTGCAATTTTCAATACTCTCCTTCATTTCAGTTGTTATTTTTAATTAATTTGATTACCTCAGATAAAAGTACCCCAAACTTATTATCACGAATTTTTTCAAAAATTTGTTAGACATAAGGCATTGAAATAAAGTATCTATTACTATTCTATTAATGCTTACAGATTTACAAGACAAAAATCACCTTTGTTCTCAGCCTCCCCATAAGTTGTGTTTTGTCAGAATCTAAGCTTTGAATTATTGTTAAGTAAGGAGCATATGGTATTTATCTATTACGCCATTTATCATGAAAAAGTATTAACCGCTCTTAAAAAGTGTCAAGAGTAAAGATAGATAATATAATTAAGAAGTTGCAACTTGGTAAGTTGCAACTCCTTGTAATTTTATTTTAATATAAAAATTCATAAATAGTTGCAACTTAAAGTATTGCAACTTAAGTTGCAACTAGTTAAAAATTTTAAAAATAATTATGGGAACCATCTTTAGTCAAGAGCTATTCCTTGGTAATTGACATGAAATGCATTTTCAATATGTTATACTTCAATATTACCTACAAAACAATCGCAAGATATACAGAATAATAAGTTAATAAGACTAGCTGTTTAATAATGAAGAATGTTAACAATTTCTATTTGTATACTTTCTTACTTTCTTTTTCTAACTCTATTTCTTTCACTTTACTTAAAGAGTTTCTATCGTCTATAGCGAAAGCAATCAGAAATCAGTATGAAGGTTTTAAAATTTTTTAATACAAATATTTTATGCATATCATTTCCTTCGACTGTAATCTTATATGTATTATATTCCGTGTTGAATAAATTAGTGACAAGTTTACTTTTCTCCAAGATATCACTCCCATTGCGAATGGCGATATCTCCTTTTATTTTTAACTGCACTTTTATTATTGGAATAAGGTTACCTACATTAAATATTTCCAAGATATTTTCTGGTAAAGAGACGCATTCATCATTATAACAGATCCATAATCCCTGATCTTTTTTTTGCAGTTAGATAAAATATGAGTAAAGAATGTTCAGATATTTCATAATAAACAATTAATTACCTTGAAGTTGAAGTCTTGAGATGCCAGTTGTCAAGTTTCTATTCCTAATAGAACGAAAGAACATAATAATGAAATGAAATCAGTATAAGTTTGTGAATTTGACTTATTATAAAAAATTAAGCCAGTTCGTGTTGACTAATTTATCACGATTTACTACTAGTAATGGATTGCTCTATGATAATGCAAATGTATTTTTTAGATGGGTTTGACAATAAGAAGCAGGAAAAAAAAGCATAAGAATAAGTAAGTATTTGGTATTATTAGCGAATATGATAGAAAATGAGAGTTTAAGCAATATTATCCTATGTCTTGAGAAACGTATCAGGTTGAGAAATTAGAGATCTCAAATAATTACACTTTACTTTATCGGTATTACAGTCATCAAGGAGAGATAACGTATTAGTCTGATTTTTTTCATTTCCAGTGAAGTAACCAAATAAACTTATTTTTCATTTAAAACGAAGCTGAAGTGCTTTATTTCTCTTTTTAGAATTGAAAGTAGATCAGACATGTTTTTTGCACAAGTTGTACAGAATATAGAAAAAAAAAAGATAGGGTAATATGGGAGCTTGTCAATAGAAAGTGAGGAAATCTAAAAAAAAAAAGTTTTTGAGTTAAAGTTAAATCCGAACTTATTTTACTAAAAAAATTATATTTAGCAAATGAAGTAAAATTTTTATATTTTTTAGATTTCCTCCTTTTCTATTAACAAGCTCCCATATATAGATCGATTGTCATATAAATTGATCTGACTCATCAGTTACATAAATTACTTAATACAGAAAACTATCATATCAGATTACAAAAATCATGCCTTACAATACTTCATATAAAAAAAGTGTTAAACTTTGAGATTGTGACACACATTATAGTCTCAGGATTTTGTAGTTTTTAAATATCAGGTGATAAGCGAAAAGAATATTCATGGTACTTTATTAATATATGCAAGTAATAAAAAAAATAAATATAATCGTAAGAGTACACAATAAAGTTTCTATGCTACAATTGCAAATTTGAGTTTATTGCTTAAAGTGTTGCAGATAAGACAATATTCTAACTTATCTTGAGAATAGAACTTCACTAATTCAGGATCATAAGGGAGCTGATTCCTATTTTCGTAGTACCATTCACCATATAATCCATAATTCCCATGTTTTTCATCACAGATAAGGCATGGTGAGTCCCATGGCTAAGCTAATGCAAAATTATAATTATCAATCCCTCTAAAACTATTTCAGAATTTCAGGTATGTGAAATGCTCTAAAACAGATTTGATAATTAATTCTAGATAGGGTGTGACTTCATAAGTGATAGGCAGGCTTGAGGTTTTGCTGATATACTTATTACAGCTTTTGATAATTGCCATGATTTACATCTAGTTTCTTTTTTATATCTTTTATATAATTTGATACGAATCTTATCTGTCAAAACGCTTAGTAACCCATTTAATTTGGCATGCTAATTCAGATATTCAGGAGTTAATATTTTATTGGACTTAGTCATGTTGCTTTTTATATGAATCAATTTAAATTTATTAGGTAATAGTTGACCTATAAAAAAATATCACATAATAAAGTGTGAACAAATGTAGTATTATAAAATAATGAGACTATGCAATTATCTCAATTTCGTACTGTTCACATTTAATAAAATAGAATCCAATTTTATATCTACCTTGTATGCTTTCTTCATTGCCATGGTCTAACTTGCACAATAAGCATGATATCTTGTCAGTAATTCCATAATAATCAAAATTTTCACTACTAAATTCTTTATATAAAATAGGATATTGATCCAATATTTGGTTGCAAAAATGGACTCAGTCATAAGTTGAATTAGATTGGGATGCAGATAATACATTTGCCAATATACTTACTCCTAAGAAATTCGCTTGTATCTCAATCTTATTGGTTTTTGAAGTCACGAATCCATTCCAATTTGAAAAGAAGTCTTCATAACCTACATCATTTGTATTATTAACTTTTTTGGAGAAATCATTTATAATGTCCTGGATCTAATTATTATATAAATTTGAGATGCACTTGTATTACAGCTAATTATTTGGATTCTATTTATTCCTATCCTATCAAACAATTATAGATTTTTTTAGTTCTGAAAGTTATTTTATACAAGTTTATATTAGTAATATCAGGAAGAAGGGATTTGATTTCACTGTATACTAATGTTTTTGCTGATTTGTCATCAATACTATTTTTAGACTTAACATCTCTGACTCGATCCTCATATACTTTATAATAACAATACCAGCATAAAATCTTCTTATGTCTAAGTTTTATTACTACTCTAAATAGATCAACTATATTCTATGCCATAATTTCACTAGATCCTATCAGAATTGCTTCTAAGGAGAGTTCAGGAATCAGAATATCAAATGCCTTATTAATTTTACCATTATTGCTTTTAGTACAAGAAGATAGCTTCACTTTTTAGTTATAAGGAATTTTTTGACACTCTGTATCTGTATTCTCATATGATTCAGAAGCCAGAACCTGTTTGTTCACTATAGATGATTTCACAGGCGATGTCCCAACAGATGTTTGTTCTAGAAGGATTACATATTCAGTGCTAGTCATGGAGAGGTCTTCTTTACAGTGAGTCAAGTCTGAGATAACTAAAGATAAGTCTTTAGCAGTATTCCTATAAGAAATCATAATAAGAAAATGATACATTTTTTTTAAGGTTTGTATACGTAATTAATGATTCTATATCAAAATTCTGTATGTTTTATAATGATTTATTTTTTCATAATTTTTAAAAAATTAATGTATACAGAATTATTAAGGAATTTAAAATAACGTATAAATTTTACGTAAAATAAAAAAATA